CACTTTGCAGAAGGGAAAACTAAGTCTCTAAAGGGGAGATGAATGACTTGCCAGGGTGAGAGCAGCAGAGGCAGCCCCTGAAACTTGCTCAGCCTGATGCTTATTTTCATCTCCTCTGTGTTTCAGCTTCTTACCCGCTAAATTTTCCCCAGTTCCTCCTGCCACCCCTAGAAAGTACATAGGGGAGGAAAAGGTACTCAATTCACAATTATATGGGGGCCAAATATATGTGAGGTCCTCTTTCTGCTGGGCTTTTTAATTGTTTGTCAGACCACAGCAGATCTTTATTAGACCAGCAAACGTCATTTCTGCAAACCCTGTGTGTTACAGAATCAGATGAGAAGGGGAGCAGATTTACTAATCCCTTTCTGGAAAGTACTATAATACCCAGAGGTCCTAACAAAAAAAAAGGTAAGCCCGTGTCATAGACCTAGGAAATTGTGGAGGCTTTTAAACATGTCCACAAATTTTTTGATACTCTTCTCTTCCAGAGGTAGAACTACATTTCCCTCCCTTTCAGTATGGATTAGACTTAGTGACTCACTTTTAATTAATAGAATATGGCAGAAGCAAATATTGTGTGACTTTCAAAATTAGGTCATAAAAAGTACTATGGTTTCCTGGTTGGTCTTTCTCTAACCATTCACTCAAACAGAGCTATAGACAGGTCCATGTGGCAAGGAACTAAGGCCTCCTGCCAACAGCCATGTGAGGGCGCCATCTTGGAAGTGGATCCTTCAGCCCCAGTTGAGCCCTCACATGACAACAGCCGAGGCTGCTTTCACACAAGCTCATGAGAGACCCTGAGCTAGATTCACCCAGCTGACCCTCTCCCGAATTCCTGACCTACAGAAACTGAAATAACATTTGTTGTTTTAGACTGCTAAACATTTTTTCAGGTTGTGAAACTTTAGGGTAATTGTTATGCAACAATAAACAACTCATTCAGGAGAACTCCAAATAATTGTCACTATTTTTTTTATTTTAATATTGTTTAAGTAAATTACACCTGAGGCTAAAAGGATAATTAAATGCTTCTTAAAACATTAGCCCTGGCTCGCTCTGGGCCTGTGGCTCAAGTGGCTAAGGCCCCAGCCACATACACCTAAGGTAGCGGGTTCGAATCCCGGGCCCGCCAAACAACAATGATGGCTGCAACCAAAAAAATAGCCAGGCGTTGTGGCGGGCGCCTGTAGTCCCAGCTACTTGGGAGG